CTTGAGGTTTGCTGCAGGGAGATCCTTTGTCATCACCTCTATTTGCTCTTTGTACTAAAAGATTTGAGGCATGACTACGGAAAAGATTAGAGGCTAAGGAACTAGCGAGTGTTCGTGTGAGCTAGCAATGTCCTGTGGTTTCCCACTTGTTGTTTGTGGATGATTCGTATTTGTTCCTATGAGCTTCTAAGTTGGACTATGATACTCTTATGCAAGTCCTAAGTGATTATGAACAGCTGAGTGGTTACAAAGTTAATTTGAAAAAGCTGGTTGTAGTGGTTAGTAACAATGTTTTGGATACTCACCGGGCGGAGATGGAGACTCAATTACATGTTGGGGTTGTGGGGTTATAGACAAGTATCTTGGTTTGTCGTCTTTGATAAAAAGGTCGAAATTGGAAACTTTTCGGTTTGTGGAGGAACGATTTATGTTGCGTCTGCAGGATGGAAACAATAGTGTTTGTCCTTGGTGGGTAAGAAAGTCCTACTTAAAGCAGTGATGAATGCATTGTCTATTTCATGTGATGTCGTATTTTAAGGTGCCTTTATCTAGTTTCCACCAATTAGATAAGCATTTGGCTTGCTTTTTGTGGGGGCGACAGGCTAGGAAGACGAGTGGATTGGGTGGCTTAACGAACCTTGTGTACAATCAAGGAAGAAAGTGGATTGGGATTTCTAGGTTTTTAGTCTTTCAATTAGGTTCTGCTAGCTAAAATAGGTTGGCGTATTTTGAAGGATCCTACTTCTTTGTTAGCTCGAATCTACAAAAGCAAATATTATTCCAATTCTACCTTTCTCTCTGCTCGTGAAAGCTCGTTGCCATCCTGGGGGTGGCGTAGTACTTTATTTGGTCGTGTTATGTTACTAAAGGGATTAAGGTGGCAGGTGGGGTCTAGAGAATCAATTCCTTTGACGGGGACTTCCTGGGTTCTGAAGCTACATCCTAACCCACCGAAATTGCTTCCAGAAGTCGATCCTAAGCATGGGATGGTAGTGTCTGTGATTTATCATGGGCAAAGAGCTTGTCAGGTCAATCAGTTGAGATAGCTTTTCCCGTCTGAGACTGTCGCTGTTATTCTCAGTTTCTCACTATACCTTTGTCTTGTTAACCTATGGAGGATCGCTTGGTTCAACATTGTGTCTCGTCAGGTGTGTACTCCGTTAAATTAGGATATCATCTTGAGGCTTCCTCCTTGCAAAGACAGCCTCAGGTGATCAATGACTCATTTTCTCCTTTTGATATAGGTATGTGGCATAAAGTTTGGGGGCTACATATCCCTCCCGAACTCCATTTTTTGTCTAGAAAATGCTAAGCCGAGTGTTTCCAACGCGGGAGGCACTCCGGGTGTGGCGGATTGGGAAGGGTGGGTTTGTACGATTTGTGCAGGACAGGAGGAGGAGACCATGGAGCATTTATTCTTTCGTTTCCCGGTTGCTGCTGCTCTTTGGTAGTTGTAGTTTCTGCAGGAGGGTATGCCTAAGGGGAGTATAGCTATCTTTTGGCATAGGTTTTTGAAATGACCCCATTGTGGCCCAACTGAGATAGTGCAGCTTCTGGCACTCTTATGGCGCATATGGAAGTCACACAATGTTGTTGTCTTTGACCTGGTTCAGTTTCAGACGGTTGTTCTTGCTTGTTATTTCTCTTTGTAGGTTGTTGAGTGGCTTGAGTTCTCCCAGGAAGTTAGTTTGTGTCCTGGACTGGCCATGTCTCGTAATCCTTGGGCTTGTTCCGGGTCGGCCTCTTTGTGTTGTTTTGTGAATAGTGCAGTTAAATAAGGTTCACATAGGGCTGGTGGATGGGTGATACAAGATGTTGTCGGATCCTTTCTAGCTAGTGCACCGTGCCACTGTTAAGGGGTAGAAGTGTCATTTCTCGTTGAACTTCTTGCCTTGAGGGATGTTGTACGGTGGTGTGAAAATAGAGGATGTACTTCAGTTACTTTTCTTGGTGATGCTCAAGTTGTTTTTTATAAGATCAATAGTGGCGAGGTGAGGGATGCCCTTGGAGAAACTGTCTTGCAGGAGATTAGTGTGTTGTTAATGTCATTTACTCAGTTCGAGTGTGTTTTTTGGATTGTAATAGGAATATGGTTGCCCATCTTGTGGCACAAAAAGTCCTTTCATCGAAATCGTTATTGTTAGTGGGTTTCGGATTTGTTGTGTGGCTACAATCACTTTGATACTTTGGACTTTGTAACTTTTTTTTTCTCGGTAATACGAATGATCTAATGGCAAAAAACAAAAAACAAAAAGATCAAACTCAAATAGTTGGCCTAGTGGTAAATGGTAATGTGGGGATTAATTATCGAACTCAAAGAATTGGTCTGGTGGTAATGTGAGGATGAATGATCAAACTCAAAGAGTTGGCCTAACGGTAATATATAGATGAGAACATCGAACAGTTTGAATCTCAGGCCTATGTAAATAAGATATTGTAACCAAATCTCCTATGTATGAAACATCTGATTTCTTAAAATAAGATATTTGATCCAAATGAGTCGTTTGTCAAATATCTCAATAGTAAGCAACTTTGGTGGCATGAACCCAAACGACATCCACCCTCGTGTTTTCCTCTGTCTGTGACAGCCCAACTTCCCCATCTCTAATTCCCTCCTCGCAGGTCCGTAAGTTTTCCTTTCACAGCAACAGGCCAACAGCAACAGCAACAGCAACAGCAACAGCGACGTCTTTATCATTTCCCTGTCTCTAGCGGATGGGGTGAGGGTTTTGTGTCAAGGACGCTTTACTTATCAATGGCCATGTGCTTTACTTGAAGTGGATGCCTGCGTTAGTGCATTTGGCTTTCTAAGTCTTAACAATGTTGTCTTAGGCTAAACAAAGTTTGATAGATAATAATTCTTTTTTGTTAAATAAACACAATAGTTCTATGTGTCAGCTAGCTAACTGGGACAGTGGGACAGCAGCTTGCATCAAATTTAAAAGCAAAGTATGCACCTTTATGGTTTTTAATCATATACTTAGTTCAATGTCTACATCTACTATTAATTATGCACAACATTGAAAGTGACATTCATTCATGAAAGTCATTCCACCTTTGATCTTACATGATCCCCATTCATATCCTAAAATTTCTCGGAGGTGCAAGTATATGTTTTAATATAAGTAATTTATATCAGCATAGATGGATAAGGGAATTCTGATGGGATCGGTGGGAATTCTGATGGGATCGGTTCCTTAGATTTGTCATCGTCAGTAGGGATGGCAATTTCGATCTGATCCCTTTTATCCAATCTGTTTGCCCTGTTTTGGGTCAGCCCGACCCAACCAGTCTCGTAGGGGGGCGGGGTCGACATGGGTACTCTCATCAACCCGACCTGCCCTGACCCACCCCATTCTCGACCCGTTCTTGTCTAAGATACTTGTATCTTAGTCAAATTACTTATGATTTTCCTTTTATTACATCATAGTTTAGCTATAATAAAGTTGTAAATTAGTGAAGACCTCAATTTCTCCAATAATTTAATTACATTTATCATAATATGATTTGTCTTTTTGGTCTTATAATGAAATTAACTAATATTTATAATGCTTTCCAAATAAATTGCATACTCATTGGATCGACCTGACCCAACTCGCGACCCATGATAAATTACCCGATTTGCACCCAACCTGCCATGGAACGGATATGGGTATCGTGATACTGCCCTTACCTAACCATTACCATTCCTAATCGTCAGGGAGCAGAAAGAAAGAATCATTCCGCTACGACCTACAATACGAGAACCCAATTCGCAACCCCATGGATGGTAGTGGACTCACAGGAGCAAAAGAAAAGAATATCAGCATAGATGGAGGAGATTTTTGGAATTAATGAAGAATCCGATGGGATTATGTTATCAGCGGAATCCGCATACATCTCCCACTAACGTTTCGGCAGCAGCGGTGCATCAGATCTCCTTCGACTATCCCCGTCCCTTTTCTGGGATAGTGGATGCCTCTAATTATATATTTCATCATTGGGTTTAAGCTTTAAACAACTAAAAAGCAAAACAACCAACCCATAAACAAAAGCGACTTTCAATCTAGGTAGGATACTGTCCTTTATGAAATCTTCTGCAGCAGGCCTTCCCTAATACGCCCATGCTTTTCGTTGTTTGCTTCTCATGTTACCATACGAATGGATGTTATATACTTGTATACCATTCTCATTTCTCATACCATCAAAATCTTCAGGCCGTCCAAGATGTGCACAAATCTTCAAGCTGCTCAACTCTTCACTAAGAAACATTTTTGCCCCTTTTTTTTTTTTTTGTCAAAGATATTCCCGAAAGAGAACAACTAGATACGAGTTGGAAGCCTTTTCAGGCAACCATAATAATACATATAAGAGAAAGGGACGACGGTCGACAAATAGCCGAACCATCGATAAGAGAGCATTTTTCGCCACGCAACGGGCAACTCTTTAATACCTATACGGCATGGGCAATATCCATGATTCTTACCCTGTATAGATGAAAATCATGGAACTAACCATGCTGAAACTGAAGCAGAGAAGCAAAATTTTGCATTTTGGCATCAAGGAACACCTGCAAAATTAACAAACATACAAACTCCAAAAGGAGTAACTTCACCTATCTTCATCCGATAAGGGTAAGAGCAAAGCTTCTGGCGGAAAGACTCGCATCTGATGAGGATGAGAGCAAAGCTGCTGCTGGCGGAGAGACTCTCAAGCGTACACGTGTCCAATATCTGTAATCACGTCAATCGTCCTAGCAAGCTGCTGCTGGCAAAAATACTCTCAGGCGTCATCTCCGGCGCTGAAGACGACAATTGATCGGAAGGAGACACGCCGAGCTGAAGAGCACGCCGACTACTTCTAGCTCCAACAGGCCAAACGACGCAACTGAGCTTGATACGTTGCCGGAAAATCGCAATATAAGCATCGCACGATGGCGATAGCACTATGGAGAGGCAGAAAACTGCCAACGGTGGCAGAGAAAACGCACTCAGTAGCCGCTCTTCACTATCACTTTGAAACATTTTCGCTCTTCACCAACACACAACTGGATATCTCTCGACGAGCGACAGAGACCAAGAATAACTAAACTCGAACGAATGCTCAGGAAACCGCCACACTAGCCGATTGAATAAGAAAAACAAAGCATTAACAGTAGAAACCATAATGTAGAAGCTACCTGTTCAATTGTTCGCATCCGATTTGGCTGTTGTCCATGTAAACTAAGAAACCAGAATAAAAGACCATAATAAAGCACAGACGCAGGAAACAACAGAGGCTTGCATCCTATAAAGCAGAATGGGTTTAAAACTTTCGGAACACATTAAAAATAACGTGTCTCAATCCTAACAAAGTTTTTTTTTTTTTCACAACCTGCTACGCCGTTGCATATATAAATCTCTAGTTTGAGTTTGACCTTCCACAAAATAAGCAGATTCGATCCGTGCACGAAGCTCGTCCAATTGCAAGGATTCGAACATTATCAGAAACAACTCTAAAACACTACTACTACAGGGTTGGGGCTCCCTTTTTCACCTGTTGTCCTTGGTACTGCTTTATCTCCTTAATGATGCCATCCGCAAGCGACTCATCATCGTGATTTTTGCCAAAGAATTTCACGAATTGCATATCAGGACCCATCAAGTACCTGCACACCGCACCAAAGTATTTTACTGCTTTCTTTACCCCAGGAAGCCACGAAAAATGAGAAACAAATCAGTAACAGTTGCCTGTCCTAGCCAAGCAAGAAGCTTGGACTGCAATTGGAGTAGGTAACTTGAATCTCAACTGTCATACAAAAGGAGCTCAATTTCAGTGGCAGGATCCATCAACTTACATGACGATGGAGTGATCAACTTGATAATCAGAATCTTCTACATCAGTCTTCATATAATAAACTCGATACGAACGAGCAACATTCTTTATATCAGATGGTGTGCCAGTCAGTCCAACTAATTTCGGATGAAACTCTGAACAAAGAGAAGATATCATCACCAATGAGCTTAATTAAGAGATAGAATTATACAAGCAATTGAGAAGTGCCTTTCTAAGATGCACACCTTTGACATACTCCCGCACTTGATCGACAGTGTCCCTCTCAGGATCAACCGAAATAAAGACTGGGACAATCTCGAATCCTGCTTTCTTCTCTACAGAGCATGAAAATTTTGAGTCAGAGACTAGATTAACCACATGTCAAGGTAAGCACAGAGAGCTGCCCTTTAAAGCATTAGCAGTTAAAAAATTCAAATATCAAGATGTTGATGTGATTCAGTGAAATTTTTGTGGAAGTTCAGAGCTAAGGTATGCAAAAAATAGTAAATTCACAGAGTAAGGACATTTAAGCTCGAACTTCTGCACTCACTTATTTTTTCAACGGCAGAGGCAAGCTTTTGCAGTTCATCTGGGCAAATGTCCGGACAGTGAGTGAAACCAAAGTACATCACTGTCCATTTCCCAATGAAATCTTTCTCTGTAGCCTTCTTTCCTTCATGGTTGACAAGTGTAAAAGGTCCTCCAATGGCTGCTTTTCCTGCTGATGGCCCCTCTTTCACAGCTTGAGAACTCTTATTTATTTCTGGACAGATAAAAAAAAACGTCATATTGACACCTCCATTGTATTCAAGTTAAACAGACAGGACAACAACCCTGGAAACTGTTTCTACAACTTAATACTTCAGGATAAGGACCGAGACAGAAACATGAGAAAAACAGAAACGGATATTAGAACAACCACCCTAAGGGAGGGATAGGAATAAACTAGAACCCTCACCTCTCCTTGCATTGAGAACTAAAATTGCAGGAAGCAAATGTGAAACAAAACCCTACTGATGACAATAGTGATTAAACATCCCCTGCCTGAAGCAGATTTATCACGATTTCTTTTGAATTTCATGTCACCCCCAAATGCCCTGAAAATGCACGCAAACTCACCATAGAAATGTACCTTCAATGTGTTTTTTCTTTTCCCTGTCGTAATAGAATATGATTCCGGCTCCAGTTAGGGCCAGCAACACAAAACTCAGCCACGACACGGGCTGCAACCATTATCCAGCACCAAGCTCAGATGAGAAAAATCCATGATGGAAATAGAAATAGATCCAAACGAGGAAGAAAATAGAGACATTACCCCACCGCGAACAGGTTTCCCAGCTTCGCCGCCTTGCTCTGAACTCCCACCAGATTTCTCGCCTCCATCCGGTTTAGCTTCCTCCACCTTCTTCGCACTCTCCGAGCCGACAGTACCCGCAGGAGAAGCTGTTTGAATGGACCTGAACAGAAATCTCTGCCCGATAGAAATTGGCGGAATACGGAAGTCCAAAGGCGCTATCTGCCGGAGAAATTATATATAATTGAGTACATGAAAGCCATTATCAAGCGTTCAAGACAGATGACAGGAGAATCATAAGAGGACGAACCGAGCGAAAGAGAGGCAGACTCTCGAGGACGGACGATGGCGGCACCGAGGTTACCGAGCGAAACTGACCGACGTGGTGGGAGTTTGCAAATCGATACGCTTTACGCAAATGATTTACAGTTCTGGAAAGCGCACTAGCCATTTTAAGACCGACTGACTCTTGCACTGCCGCCGAGCTCGGATTCTGCTCCCCTTAAAGCTGGGTGGATGCGGAAGGAGAATTTACTATAAACCCTACCGCCTGGCCGGAGATAGTGAATTGATAAACCCTACTGATCGGCAATTGGAAATATCTTTGGGAAATTTTGCGAGGTACGTGAAAGTGAAGAAGTTAGACCGTCGTCCTCTACCGGAAAAATGAAGCCCAATAGAACTGAAATAGAATTGGGCCCTTCTATTTTTTTTTTTAAAGGGTGCAAGCACAGCTATCTATTATTGAGAAAATGAACTGCGAAACCACCGTCATACAAAAGTCAAAAAAATATGCAATGTCAGAATTCGAAGGAACACAAATATGAGCCCTAATTAGTAAACTATGGCCACGATGAGTCAAGTTATCGGCTAAGAAATTGGCCTCTCTATATAAGTGATTTGACTCTTGTCTCCCAATTCCACTACTGGAGCTCGCGAAAGACAAGGACAAGGTTCGCGTGCTGGGTCCGTGGGCGTGGTTGGCGATAGCACATTGATGATTGTCGTCGAGTCAAGTTGCAACTCAACTTTCATGTACCTAGTATTCCACGCCAATGTAGTCCCTTAAGAGCGCCCCATAGCTCCGGACGAATGATTGTGCATCTCCCAAGTTCATCGTGCAGGCCCCTAACAAGCAACTCTGCCCGTCTCTAAATGCCCCTGCAACGGTAGACCCTAACGTTTGCAAAAGCAAATCGTCATAGATCACTGTGAGCCAATCTGTAAGGGTCGGTCTCCACCCAACAACCACGTCTCGACGCGTCCCCAACATCAATATTATAAGTGTTTTTCAAATATGATATTGCTTATCTTGTTTTATATTTTCGAAATAAAATTAAAATATGGTAAAGACAATCTTTTTTAAAAATAGATTTTCGAGATAATATTTAAATTTCAAAATAGAACTCCAAATTAAAAGCCTCTGTTTTTATGTTATACAAAAACACGTTTTGGCTTTTCAAAAGCAAAGCTTTTAGAGGCGTTTGGCCCTACTTCACCTTTTAAGCAAAAAAATACTTCTAAAAGTCAGGCCAAACATAGGGCTAGTTTGGCCCTGCTGTAACTTTTGCATAAACAGCTTCTGACTGGAGCTTTTATAGAAGTACTTAAAAAAAACAGTTGAGTGTTTGGTTGAAAAACTATTAGAAGTGCTTTTTAATATGAGAGGTTGTGTAAAATGACTACAAAGAAGTTATAATATAAACAATCAATAAAAATTATTAACAATAAAAAGTAGTCAAAAGAGATATTTTTAGATTTCTTTTATATTAAATAAAATCATTTATAATTTAATTTATTTTTAAAATAATATAAATGAAATAAATTTATATTTTCTGAAATAAAACTAAAATATGGTAAGGATAATATGGTATTTTCAAAATAGCTGTTCGCAGAAGCTCCAAATCGGAGCTTCTGCTTTTATGTTATACAAAATCACTTTTCGGCTTTTCAAAAGCCAAGCTTTTAGAGGTGTTTGCCCCTGCTTCAGCTTTTGAATCCCAAAAACACTTCTAGAATTCGGTCCAAGCATAGGAATAGACCAAATTATCTTACTATGTCAAATTTTATTTATAAAAATATAATTTTCTTTCACTTATATTTTAAATAATTTTTTTTAAAAATATTAAAATAATTTAACAGACCTCAAACTAGCTCATTATACATCTCGATTTAAATTGGAATTTTTATTGATGAAATTAATAAAAATGTGAAGATCTTTTAGAATATCGCCTCATATAGGTTTTATTTTAAAATCATTATACCTATATTTTAAGATCTCTCAATCTACACATCCCTCTATAATATATAACAGTACTTCAGGAGATTTTGAGCATTTCAAATTCATTGCACTCTTCTTAATTGTACCTAGGGGTAAATTTGTAAGTTCAACTTAGAACTTAAATATCTTCTTACGAGAAAAAAATATCATTACAAAGACTTGAACTTGAGTCCTTCAAATTGATAATCAATATCCCTAACCAACTATACTACACCACTGTTTATGTATTTTTTGAATTAAAGAGAGAAAATACTAAAATATCTCAAAATCATACGACTATCCACCGCAACAATCAATCATCGAATTAATTAATAACTGTAATTATTTACAAAGTGAATCATCATGAATCAACTAAGTGAGTTCCTCTAATCACACAATTCTTCACCAAGAATCAAATAGTACATTTTGAGTTTATGTATGTCTTACAACTTTTCATTTATTAGGTTACATGACCTTGTAGTTTGTAGGAATACAAGGATTGTTTACAAAAGTGATATACAAAATTTTATTTCAAAACATAAAATTTGACATTTATGATCTATGGCTTTGTAACGAGACATTTTCAATGCTATAAGTGAATGACCAAAAATCATTGGCTAACAATTTTCCTAGTGGTTGACAATTATAAGCATAGAATTGAAAGACTAAATACCATTGACAACTGAGCCAATTATCATTGGCTAAATTTAACTAAAAATGGTATGTGTATATACATTCGAAATTCTATGGTACGCTTGATGGATTGAGGGTTATTGCATCTCCTTAGTTAAATAACATTATCTAGACCATAGATTAATCACGTAACTAAACCCTATATCATAATTCTCTAAATCCCAATGTAGTGCATATGGTATGTTGTATACATCTTGGCGAATAAGAATCATTGATTATGTTCTTAGTTTATGTGATATTAGGGTTTAAGTTCTATATATTTAGAGTATATGATTTAATTATTTGAAACTTAATCTCCCTTTTCATATTTCCTGCAATGTGAGGGAAATTAGGAATGACATTTTTGTCTTCACAATTACAAGTATTTTTTATTTATTTACAGAAAAAGATAGGCATATTGAGATTTGAACCATGGTCACTTCATACAAAGTGTAGGTTTAAAATCAAGCAGACTATGTAGATATGTTGTATTTTTTAAAATTAAAAATATATATGAAGCTAAAATATGAAATCACAAAACTTTTCAACAGTTAGCTAGCCCAATAAATATTCCGTAAGTACTTATTTGGTGTTTTGATACTTCGATTTTGATATTTTTATTTTAATTATACTTTAATACTTAATTTAAAATTTTATCTATCTTATAAATAGACAATAACCACAAATTTGCAACAAAAATATTGTTGGTTCGAATATTTCATATCGAATTATAGTAATGAATATGTAGAAGTGACAGAGAATTCTTAAATTACCATTAATTTCCTGAACTATAGTGAAGCAATCATATCTTTGTACATACTATAGGGGGCTGGTTCTCTGAACATTTTTGTCCGGTTAAATACTAAGTTTTGAAACTCTTCCTATGGGTGTACATGGATAGGTTCGTTTGGGTTTAGATATTTTAATCACTACCTCATATACCATGATTTTGAAAACACTAAATACAAACTTACCCAAATAATTTAGAATTTTAACGGTTTGTGTCCTCCATACCAAATGAACCAATTTACATGTCGCTTAACTAAGGACGATCCCATTGCCCAATCCCATCATTCTAATGCCAATCCGTAAAAGTAATCCATATTCGCATTTGTTAACACATGTTTCACATTGTCATTACTGTGACCGGTAACTTCGTTGCAACTAATTTGGTATTGTTCATCATATGGCCTCCAAACTGATAAACATATCGGGCCAACAGTTTTATGACAAAACTCAAAGTGAAGACAACTCACCGCCTGATGGAATTTTGGCGCTTGCTGGTGTCCATTAATCTAATTGCAAGCATAATGATTGCTAAAATTAAGCTTTCACGCAACACACTGGGAGTTGGGGGTGTGAACTTGGAGTAAAAGTTGATATTGGGTTTGGGAAGGGAAGTGGTGAGAGGAAGAAATTGTGTTTGGATTTGGTAGCAGGTAAAGTTCATGGTTCGGTTTCTTTTCGTAAAATGCTATGATTTATTTTAGTTAGAGGTATACTATTATGGTTATGTGGGATCAAATGAACCAAAAATGAGCTTGGGGGATGGGAATTCAAAACTTAGAAGGAGTGGATTAGATTTTGATAAACTCAGGTTCATGATTAACTGAAAGAATATTTAGATTTAGACTGTGTGGTATTGAGATGTTCATAGAGAGTTTAAAACTGACCCAAAGCCATGGATTGATATTGGTTAGTTGATTGTGATTTTGAGGAAGGTGTATAATAAGTCATAGAAGTAGTTTGCAGCAAGTGAATGGAGTGAAGAGGCAGTTGGTCAGGGTAGTGATTGAACCAACAAGGGTATTGAAAGACATAGAAGCAAAATTGGAGCAGTTGAAGAGAGAAAAGTGGTAGATGATCAGGATATTAATGAAAATGGAGAGGGTATTGAAGGACATGGAAGTGAACTAGATCAGGTGAAGGCAGAGAAGGAGGAGAAGAGCATATTGATGGAATTGAAGTGAGTGTTGGTTTTACGAGCTTATTAAAACTGCCCGAGGAAGATGAGTTGGCCAAATACAAGAAAGAGGATTGAGGAGTTAGAGATCAAGCAGACAAGAAACTCAATTGAAAGAGAAATTCAGGCTCATGGAGAGAAGGTCCATCAAAGTAGCGTAAATGGAGTTGCAGAAGGAGGATTAGAAATTGAATTTTGGTTTAAAACATATACGTCGAGAGATTGAAGATGGAGGGATAACAAGTTGGTTGTACAACGGAGAGTGAAAACTATTGGATCTTTAGGTGTTATGGTTGTTGCAACTACCACAACCTATGTTTATGTTAAAACGAGGAATCATTGATTGATTTGCTAAAGTTAAGGTCGATTCATTATTCAAACTACTGGAACCTGTAAATAAGGAGTGTCTAATTTTGTATCGAGTCTATTAGTAATAGTGATGTAACTCTAATTTTGTCATTTGCTCTCAAGTTTTGATGAGCTCCTTTTAGTTGAGTTGTTAACATATGATTTACTTGAATCAACAACTATTCATTTCTGTTTTTTTTATAAATCCATTTCTTTTTTATTTGTGACATGTTATTCATAGAGGAGAGCTTTGAACCATTTATGTGGGATTGTGAGGTCTCATTCCAGTTTCAAACTATCTATGGATCGTGTGAGAATTTCAATGAACTTTTATATTATATTTCTGAACAATCTATTAACCAATATCATTTTAATGGGGGCTCAATTATCATTATGAAAATGAGATTAATGATACATTTTTATATTCTTAAATGAGGAGGGTATTTCC